TCCCCGCCCCCCCCGGGCACAGCCTTTCCCTCCGCGCTCTTTTCTTGCCGACTCAGCTCTTTTTTGGCACCTGCTTCTCTCTGCCACCTCTTTTTTTTTGGGTGTGAAAAGCGCTTTATCGGCGTTTTCCATCTCCGGCTGAATTTCTGGTGCCTCTGCCGCGCTGTGCGTGGGGCGGGGGTCCCCCCGCGTCCCGATTTTCCCCTTTTTTTTGGGTTTCTTTTCTTAGGTTTGGGATTTTTTTTTGTCTTTTCCTCCCGGGAAATCCAGGAGCTGAATCACGAGGAAATCCCTGGAGGGGGCAGGGTGGGGTTTGGGAGGGTCAGGCCACCCCCGCCACCTCCCTGTGCTGCCGCTGACAGCGTTTTGGGGGGATTTTGTGGGTTTTARTGACTTTTGCACCCACGGGTGCCCATTCCTGGCTCCCCCAGCTCTGTGGGGTTGGGGGGCACAAAGGTGACATTTTCCTTTTCCTTGTCCTGCTTTTTCTCTTTCTTTCTTTTTCTCTCTATATGATTTTTCCTCTCTATATTCTTTTTTTCGTTTTCCTTCTTCTCCCCCCTTTCATTCTTTTTCTCCTTATATTCTGTTTTCTTCTCTTTCTCTATATTTTCTTCTTTACTTTTTCCTTCTTCTTCTTCTTCTTTTCCTTCTTTTCCTTTTCCTCCATTTCCTTCTTTTCCTCCTTTCCCCTATTTTTCTCCTTTTTTCTCCTTTTTCCCCTTTTCCTTTTCCTCCATTTCCTTATTTTCCTCCTTTTCCTTTTCCTCAGTTTTCCTATTTCTCTTTTTTTCCCTTTCCCTTTCCCCCTTTTCCTCCTTTCTCTTCTTTTCCTCTTCCTCCGTTTCCTTTTTTTCCTCCGTTTCCTTCTTTCCCTTCTTTTCCTTTTCCTTCTTTTACCTCTCCTCCTTTTTCTCCTTTTTTCCTCTTTTTTTCCTCCTTTTCCTCTTTTCCCTTTCCCCCCTTCCCCTATTTTTTTCCTATTTTCCCTCTCCTCCTTTTTCTCCTTTTTTCCTCTTTTTTTTCCCTCCTTTTCCTCTTTTCCCTTTCCCCCTTTCCCTATGTTTCTCCTCTTTTCCCTTTCCTCCTTTTCCTCCTTTCTCTCCTTTTTCTTTTCCCC